CAGTAAAACAACAGACTGCCAGTGTGGACGTGTATTCACATCGTGATATATATATCTTGCGGATAATATCAATCTTTCAGTAAAACAACAGACTGCCAGTGTGGACGTGTATTCACATCGTGATATACATCAGTCAACCATCTCTCGTCAACTGCACCGACTGGACGATAGCCTCAGTTTCTGGAAGGATCGATCACATATACATAATAACAATGCAAAGGTGGGTTGGTCGCGTTGCCCTGGTGACAGGGGCCTCCGTAGGTATTGGTGCCAAACTCTCTGAGGATCTGGTGAAGGCTGGTATGACAGTAGTGGGGTGTGCAAGAAATATTGAGAAAATCCAGGTAATTTTAACTTATCCCGTGCCAGAACGTCTTATTCTTTTGCCTGTACGATTACAACTTGGGAGAATTATCTACGCATATGTTTCTATTTTTTATATACTTTTGCAATACAGTCATTTGATTGCTTATTTTTTAAATTCAAAGTAGTTCCTAACATTTAAAAAACTTTACTGTACATTCTTGGTTAATCGTATGATTAGTTGACATCCGGTTAAGGCTAGTGTGTACATTGATGAAATTCCTTGATCATGTGCTATTTTCTGATAAACGTAACTTGCATGGTATACATCTTTCATTTTTGCATAAAAGGTGCATTATTTAGTGGAACCAGATTATTGATATCCAGCAACGGACTTGTTCTGCCCATGTACAAACCAGTTGATTTATAATTGCCTTTTATAAAATTGTTAAAATTAGTTTTTGCAAGCCATGTTTAATGATCATACCATGCACTCTTTGCACATACGAGCCTTGCCCCTTCACTTTTAGTTTCGCCTTGAGGAGTGCTCTCAATACAACTGCAACGTGTGCATGCTCTATGATTATCAAAAATGTCTGTAATCTTATCTCGCGATTGACATGGTTCATTTTTCTATTTCAGAAAGCTTCAGAGGACCTGAAATCTAGTAACGGGTCTTTGTACGCAATCAAATGTGACCTTACAAAGGAAGATGAAATCTTGGCCATGTTTAATGAAATAAAGTTAAAGTTTGGAGGAGTAGATGTCTGTATCAACAATGCAGGTTTGTTTGCATCGATCTATTTGTTTATTTTTTGTCATTCACTTTAGCTATCTCATGAAAGCGATTTTGAAGCGATTTTGAAGTTTTCAGTATAAAATATTCATATATTGCGATAGCATTGAATAAATAAACTGATTTTATTGTTCCAGGTCTCGCTCATGCAGAAACTCTTTTGACTGGATCGACAGAAAAATGGAGAAATATGCTTGAGGTCAGTATTGTCTCATGTATGTGGAATGGGGTCAACAATTTATGTTATCAGCCTAAGCCATTTGCAATGTATTGTCTTATTGGTATCATCTTGGGAACAAGTTATATTATTTCACAAATCATGCCAAATGCTTCAGTCACATTTGACCTACGGCAGCCGTTTGGCGGCCGTAGCTTTCCAAATTCGGTAGAAATTTGCCGCATAAAATACAATGATAAGCAGTACGATGTAGAATTTCTATATCGATTTGGGAAGCTATGGCCGCCGTATGCCTACCGTGGAGCAAATGTGTCTGAGGCTTCAGTATGCAAATGAATTCTTTCTTGATATTTAGGTGAATGTGATAGGTTTAAGCGTCTGTACACGGGAAGCAGTACAGTCAATGAGAGACAGGAATGTTGATGATGGACACATAATTCATGTAAACAGGTATTGCTTATATAACCTTTTTGTGTACAATGCGTATAAAAAAAAACGCAACAGATTGTTATCTCGGAAAAGCACAAAACCAGTGATAACAGCATTGATATCATTCAATGCACCATAAAGCCACGTGTCTCCTCTTTACAATGCTATATCATTCATTGATATTTGGTCATGGTTGGACGAGTAATCATTCCATTTGCAAAGTGGGCCAACATTAGCTTGGGACCAAGTTATAAACATCGCAAAAGTCAGTGTACGGAGCCCGCTGCAATATTGGAAGAAAACATAAAACCAATGCTGACTGCATCCTTTTCATTCAATGTACCAAAAGCCAAATTACTCCTTTTTCCAATGGAATATCATTCATTCACAGGAAGTCATGGCTGGCCGAATGATCATTAATTTTGCAAAGGGGGACAAAATTCAGCTCGAACTCAAGTTTCAAACATTGCAAAAGTCAGTACAAGGGGCATAGGGGCTATTGGAAGAAGGTGTGATAGGTGTTGCACAGACAGTAAAGTGTTCATATTCATACTCTTGCATGAATACATCCTATACCCCTCTATTGCAAAAGTCAGTACAAGGGGCATAGGGGCTATTGGAAGAAGGTGTGACAGGTGTGGCATAGACAGTAAAGTGTTCATATTCATACTCTTACAAGAATACATCCTATACCCCTCCAAATTGCCACCACTTCCTTGCACATAAAGATGCACTCATCTGTCCACGTCATGCATGGTTCAGTCCTGAGTCATCTGTGGATTAAACCAGAGAAAAGCAGCCCATGGGCAATTCTTCCTCGAGGTTTTGCAATATCTGGTGAAGGAATTGTAAGCACAGATGCTCCTAAGATAGCTCCAAAAGAAAAAGTCACAACAATTCAAGTCAGGGGAACATCCATTGGAACTTAACCATTGCACTGATTTTTGCAATATCTAAAACTTGGTCCAGAGCCGATTTTCACCCACTGTGCAAATGGAAGGATTTCTCATCCAACCATTACCACATTTGAATGAATGACATATCATTGCAAAGAGGAGAGACGTGGCTTTATGGTTCATTAACTGAAATTGATGTAGTCATCACTAGTTTTGTGATTTTACGAGATAACTACTTGTTGCGTTTTTTTGATACGCTCTGTATATACTGTTATAAGAAAGTACAGCCAATAAGAGACAGGAATATGTTGATGATGGACACACAATTCATGTAAACAGGTATTGCTTATATAACCTTTTTGTGTGTATACTGTTATAATAAAGTACAGTCAATAAGAGACAGGAATATGTTGATGACAGACAACTAATTCATGTAAACAGGTATTGCTTATATAACCTTTTTTTGTGTATACTGTTATAAGAAAGTACAGCCAATAAGAGACAGGAATATGTTGATGATGAACACATAATTCATGTAAACAGGTATAGCTTATACTTGTATAACTCTTTTTTTGTATATATAATGCTATAAGAAACACTGCAGAGGCCAATGATCAACAGATCTTGGCTTAGGCTTCAAATGACACCCATTTTTTTAGATGTATTTTGTGTGAACTAAGCCTAAATCTACTAATTGCTTGTATGTAATTTTTATTTTGGATACTTAAATAACGATTTTTTTGCTTTGTTACTGTTACTCAATCATTTGTTTTATTCTTATAAGTATCACTTTTATATACATTTATCTATATCTATCTGAGAGTCAAAATGAATCTAATAATACTCGCAAACAATTCTATTGTAGCATATCTGGACACATTGTTGGAAATAGAGATATCGCGCACTGGTACACCGCCAGTAAATTTGCTGTTACTGCGCTTACCGAGGGTCTAAGGCAAGAGCTACGTGATATCAAATCCCATATTCGTGTAACTGTACGTATTATTTTCTCTATATTATTTATTTTAGTATGTCGGGGAAACGAATAATACCAAGTCCTGCGGGTCACTTCTATTCGGCGTCTAAATTTGCCGTCACTGCTTTAACAGAAGGCTTACGTCACGAACTTAGGGACCTAAAATCGCATATCAGGGTGTCTTTAAGTTTAGTGTCAAACTATAGTTACGGTGTTGTAAACTTTCATTATGTTAGAACTTAATCTTTTTCTGCTATACCGTGTAACTCATATAGAAGGCAATATACGACTCTTCGTTGCATATATACAGATATTGGCCCCCGAAAACTACATGGTGGCCCGTGTAACTCATATAGAAAGCAATATACGACTCTTCATTGCATATATACATATACAGGATCTGTTTTTTATTTTGCTACAGAGCATCAGTCCAGGTGTAGTGGAGACAGAGTTTGCAGAAAGAATGACAAATACAGATATGGCTGCAAAGCTCTATGGCAGTATGAAGGTTGGTTCATTGTTTCTATTTGAGGAAATTCTTTATCTGATGTTAAAACATATTGCATCAAAACAAGTTTGACAATTCACCAAGAGGGATTATATTATAATGCAGGGATCAGCTAAGCTAGAAATCTATTGCAGTATCTAATTAGTATATTTGCAAAGTTTTTGATATCATCAAAGATGCCAGTTAAAGAGACTTGTACAATTTTGAACATCACCATGGAGCTGTTTATCCCAATAGACCACAAAGGCATCATTTTTAACGCACCCGAGTGCCATTTTGCACAAAACAATAAAACCACCTGAAATTGTCAGATAGTGATTTGGCCAGTCAATTTGGATTTAGGGTAGGAATCGGTTGATATATAGTATTTATTGTATTTTCAGTGTTTAGAGACTGCAGATATCTCAGCAGCTATCATTTATGCTCTCTCTGCGCCTCCTCACGTCCAGGTTCACGACATACTTATGCGTCCAACAGAGCAAGTGTCGTGAGGGTTACCTTATCGTCGTTTCAGAGGAAGAGAGGATTTTTAGAACATTCGGGGGTACATCGATTTATTTGTAAAACATTGGGAGAATTCAGATTGATTGATTGGGTCCATTTATCGATCGACTTTCTCAACTTAAAATTCCATGCCTCGAATAATCCTTACATATCATACAACAGTTACAATGTCCTTATATTTGACTTTTGCCTTTTTTCTGAAAATAAATTCAATATGAAATAACTGTGTACAATTTGTATTTGAGTAGAGTCATATGAAGACTAGAGGTACCATACTGTAGGAACTCTTCAGGAAATAACATATTTTTTAGATATTTCACACCACATATACTGTAAGTTGCAAATAAAATTTATTAATTATTCATTTTTTGAAATACAGGTTAAAAATCAAATTAGCGTCGTTTTTAAACCGCCAACATTGTCTATTCTATGTTATCCATTTATATAGCCTGCAGGTATTACATATTGGTTTAGAAAATGATCATTCAATGATTACGGAAACGATTTCATGGAATCCATGATATATATAGGGATCTTTTATTGATTTTCTTGATCATTTGAAATGCCGAATTATTTTTCTTATACAATTCTTATTTGGACTCTCAAAAACGGCGCTAAAGTCTATAAAATGTAAACTATTGAAAGCAATGTCTTAATAAAAAAGCGCACCCTATGTTTGTTTTACAACGCAAAGAAGAATTGACATTTCTGATCAATTATGGAGGTTATTGGAGACGTAAAATGCAAATTATAAATCAGAACTCTTCGTCTTATTAGAAAATTACACGTAACGATCACGTTCAATAAAGGTTCATATTTGTCTAAGCAATTTTATAAATTTTATATTCTGCATCTATAAAGGTCACTCAGTGTTCATATATCCGTATAGGATTTCCCACTGAGGTCATTTACACTTGTCAAGACAGTTGGCGATTCTAAAACGAGACAATCAAATTGTTACCAAAAAGTTTCAAAATCAAAACGTTTCCAAAATGTTTTAAAATGTTAAAAGTACACTTATAAATTCCACAATTTATGGCGTATGTCAATGAACGAAAAGGTAGTAACTAAATTACTGGGTATTAATTGCTGCTCCAGAAAGTAAGGTCCATGGCCTATTACAGCCAATATTAACTGTAGCAGTGTTTTACATTTTTGTCTTCTCTACCGTCTTTCTTTTTTGCTGATCCTGTATCCAAAAAAGGTCTCGCTTCCAAAACCTCTTGGCAATAAATCCCAAAATCCTTCATCAAATAACCCACTTTGCAATTGGTCCGAATCACGAAAGGGTTTTACAATTGCATATTGTGGGACAAAGTCAGGATTCATCAGGACAATCTTGTCGAATAACATTTCGGCCGTACCTTCAGGGTCGGTATAGTTTAGCTGGCTGATGAACGTATAAAGTTCACGAATAACATTATATTGTGCCTCGAGGAAGGTGGAACTGAGCGTCGTGACCTCCTGCAATATCATATTGATGAATGTTAGATTTGAAACCATGCTATCTCATAACCTTTTGTTAGAGAAAACATGTACAGTAATACCTGCCTTACCTGAACGCTACTGGTACGTGTTAAAAGCGTTTAGAGTAGGAGGTGTTCACATTTACTACAAAAGACACATCATGAATGACCCCTATCCCTTTAAATGTTTTTAGGACTTGGGACAACATGAATAATTGTTTGGGTATCAAAATCAAAATCTCCAAATCATCGATGTCTATAAACATGTATGGTCTCTATCATAACATTCAAAGTTGATAAACAGCTAATTAGAAATTAATTCCTTTAACCCATCATACGCATTCTGTTCTTTAACCAGTCCGAGACTAAAGATTACATTGATAATGATATGACTTCAATTATATCGTTAGGTGATTCAAATGATAATACACATATATAATAGTTTTCTAGTAAATCTACATGTACATGTCGTCTTTCATGTCAAAGAATAAAAAACTTATAACAACATCCATGTTAAAATAACAGCTACATATTGGTCACATATATTTGTTTTCTTCAATATATCAGATGCATCGTGCTCTTTCTTAATCATTAGTCTTAGAATTAGATTTCACTCAATGCTCAATCAATATATATTTGGAATAACCAATTTTATATTATGTTTGTGTTCAAGTTACATTTTTCTGATGCATCTGAACAGTGATTGATTAATAATGATTCGATCGAATTTGTGTAAGGTATTTTAAATATGTAACTCACTGAGGGTGCTCCGCATAAACCAATTATTTTCACTTGGTCAGCTACCGTAGAATAACTATCAAGCTCAAAGTCGAGGGCATATTGTAATCCTTCTCTTAATGTGCCAAAATCCGTTGTAGGAACCTAAAGTTTACATGTTGTTTTATATCATGAAGATCCACACTTTGTGATTTATTTAAATTATAATTTGGCTTCAGCAAAATAGTATGGCATGCAATATAAAAGTCATATATCTATCAAAACTACTGTACAGGGTTTTTCAAAAGGCTGGAAAAGTATCATAACATTAAGGTATTAACATAAAAATTGATTTAAGGAAAGTTTAGGATAGGCATATTTTACCATTCAAATATTTAAGCTAATACTGGCTTCTAATTTTTTCAACAGAATATTTCTTTGAATATCAGTGGTAAATTGTTCATGTGTCCAAGATGTACCATTTTCCTAGAAACGTGACTTTCTATGATTTTATGTGATCAACAATAACACATTCATTATGTTCACTTAAAGGGGCAATAAGGACTGTAGAGAGAAAATTCGAAAATTTTTATTTTTTCTGAGCTATCAGGTCAATATTTGGCTTAATACCTTCTTTGACATACCTATTTTCATAAAATGTATGTATAAACTATCAATTTCAGCATTAAGAAGTGTAAATTCAATTCAAAGCTTCTATAAAGGGAGTCCCACTTATAGATTTTTAAGATCCACCATGTTTCAAGAGGAATATCAGCTGAAATAATGTTCATCCAGAGGGTTTCTTTGTAGATAATGAAAATATATGTTAGTCTTGATGAAATATCCAAACCTAAATATATTTTTACACTTGTCGATGATCATTGAATGGCCCCCCTGCACTAATTGTAGCACCTTTAATCTACTACAATCTTTGAAAATTGTTTAACCAATGGCTAGTACAGTTTTATATTAGTATCTACTCACTATGTAGTATGTTATCCTGTATCTATTAATTATCTATTTAAAAATGCATCCATGCATCCGCCTTTCACCTTCACTATCACACAGACACGAGGGTGGAACTGCAATGACACCATCCAGCAATTTTGTGGTATTTCTTTCCAATTCTCCTACAGAACTTCTTTTAGTTGATCAATAGGTTCTGTGGGGATTACCATTAAACTGCTCCAGGTGCCCCCATGTGAGATAGTCACAGGGGTTGGCATCTGGTGTATTGGGCAGCAATTCATCAGGACTGATAAATCTAGAGGTATCCCCCTCCAGTCCAAAGTGACCCTTGCCTGATGGCTGGGAGTGATAGTGAAGGTAAAAGATGGATGTAAGAACATGTGATTAATAAATAATTAATAGATCAGTATAACATAATACCATAGTGAGTGGATACTGAAATAAAACTGCACTAGATATTGAATAAACAGATATCAGAGATTGTTGCAGATTTAGTGAACATAATGAATGTGTCATTATTGATCACATAAAATCATTAAAAGTCACATTTTCTTGGAAAAGCAGTAAATCTTGGACACATGAATAATTTACCACTGATATTCAAAGAACTGTCAAAAAATTAGAAGTCAGTATTAGCTTAAATATTTGAATGGTAAAATATGCCTATCCTAAACTTTCCTTAAATCAATTTTTATGTTAATACCTTAATGTTATGATACTTTTCTAGCCTTTTGAAAAAGTTGCAAAATTTATTGGCCCACCCTGTACAGTAGTTTTGATAGATATATGACTTTTATATTGCATGCCATACTATTTTGCTGAAGTCGAAACCATATTTCCAGATCATACGAGGCCCGATCAGAAAGTAAGTAACCAACTGCTCTTATTTCTTCATACTTTATTCAATCACATTGAAATTTTCACAGATGATGTAGAAAACATTAACCTATTAAAGAAGACCAAGGACAATGGGATAGTGTCAATTCTATTGTTATTGCTGTTGCTATTGGTGACAATTGTTTTGGGTAGGTGGGGCACCATGTTTTAAGTGGCGTTTGGGACAATTTGTAGAGTTTTTCTACATGTTGTAATACCTCCAAATATATCAAATTCAAATGTGAGACTACATTTTAAGACACAGTCCTTCAAATTAATTGCCACCAAAGTCAATGCAGTTGAGGCAATGTTTCACTCCGTCCTTAAAAAAGTGCAACATGGCGCCATTCAATGACTGCAAACTGCTATTGAAAGCTTTAATGATGGCCTTATTTCTGTCCAAACGGACTCTCCATAACAACATCTTTGCATTTGGAAAGAATAAAGTCACGTGGAGCCAGGTCTGGGGAATAGCAGGGGCGTAGGAAGGTGTAAATTCAACACTACGCCAAAAATCCCGCCAAAAAAATGAAACAACTGTGTCAATATTCTATATCAAAACGCCTATATTATGCTCGTAAAACGTCATTTTATGGTAACAGAGATTTCAAGCTTGCAATATTCACAACCTAAATGTGAACAGAAATACTTAAGCGATGCATTTGTATGGGCGATTGGTCATACGTATAGGTTGGCGTTTCGATTTCATATGCAAGCTTTAAATCCCCGATACCTTTTTAATGTGCTTTAAAATGTTCGAATGATTTTCATCATTTAAAATCACCTTGGAAAGCCTATCTTTTAAATCTCGACACAAATCATTCTCACTTTGCTAATATCTCGAACGATTGAGACGACCAATTTCCAAAAAACAATTAGAGATTTTTTAATCATTTTCGAATGATTGAATTAAGATCTGAAGATATATAGTATTGTCGGATTCCATCGTGTACCGTGCAATACAATACGTACAGATTAAAGAAACTAGTTTAATCAATTGATATAAAGAAACGCATTCGTGATCAATGAAACAAATAAATACACCCACCACAAAGGTCAAATCGAGGTCAACGTGACTTAGGGGATACCAAAAAATGTTATAAAACAAGAATCTATTATTTGTCAAATGAAAAAAAAATAGGTTATCGCTTTTCTAGAACTGAAATCAATGGAACGTGTAATTGAATAATCAGCATTTTCAAGTTGTGTTTGTCTTTAACATCCATATTTCAAAAAGTACTACCAATAACAATTAGTGATTTAGTAAGAAAATAGATAATTGTTGACTTAACTATAATTTCGTGTCTATGATTTTGCATAGCAACGGAATATAAATCGATAGTGAAATTGAAAAATTGGGGTAGGGGAGAATAAAAAAAATATACATCTAAATTTAAAGAGGTTCATCATTATAATCATATGATACCATAGTTAGCATAAGCATTACGGAAAATGCAGAAAAAATGTCAAAGGTATTCATCAAGTAGTTTTTGAAAAAAAACAGCTTTCCTCTCAAATTCGTGAAGAGAACGCGATTCACGAATATTTGGCGAAATTGTATTTATAAGACAGTCAATAGTGGCTCGATTTTCATGAAATAAAGCATGTTGGTAAGGGAATTCAATCTGTTAAATGATATTTGCCAGACAGACCAATAATGATATGGTATCCACAAAACATTTCTTTAGGCTAGTGTGCTCGAGATTACTTTTACAATTTAAACAATGAGAAAATATGTCTAAAGAACATAGGAAAGTTAAAAAGTCTTTTTTATTCTCACTTTTCAACACTACGCACTGGCGTTTTGGCGTACATTGTTCCTACGCCACTGATAGTGAGCCTGGGGTAGTTGTGTGGCCATGTAAAAGGCTATATCTACTGTATCTTTGGAAATGTTGGCTCTGTGTAGGTGGACCATTGTCATCATGCCAGTAAAATCCCCCTTCAACAACATTTGACTGGATTGAAACTGTGACACTGAATCATGATCATCATTATGACAGATATACCCTTGATTTCTTTGTGTCGATGACTTACAAATGAGTCATTGGAGCATAGTTACCGTTGTGATAATACATAAAACAAATTATTCAGTCTTGCATAAAAAATGTTAGGTCATTTGGAGGAATATGGCATGTAAAAAACTCAACAAACCATCTTCCAAAGCCGCTTACAAAAGGGTGCCTCGCCTACCCGAAACAATCATCACCATAGCAACAGCCATAACAATGGCTTTGACGCTAACCCATTGTCCTTGGTCTTCTTTAATAGGTTAATATTTTCTACATCATTTGTGAAAAATTCAATGTGATTGAATGAAGTATGAAAAATTGAAAGCAGTTGGTTACTTACTTTCTGATCGGGCCTCGTATATCTATATACTTTTACATGTAGAATTCAAATATGAAATCACTTTGAACTCTGAATACCTAAATGACGTAAATCAAGATTATTCTACTCGCATCTAGTCTATTTGAACAATATCTCACCCATGCGAGCTAATAGAGTATCATCACGGTACGATACAAAATTTCAACTCTCCCATACCCTATTTAGGCTCTTACCGACATATTTGCAAAATCTACGGCAGCCAAACTGAGACTCTTGACTCTCAACACCTCTGACCCAATCCGATACTTTCCAATGAAAGCATTATTCAGAAAGTATCGCGAAGCTCCATACAATCCAAGGTCTGTTCTTTGGTAATGTAGCGCCTACAATAATTAAAGACTTTTTTGACACTGTTCTCAAACTTAATTCCACTTCTGCCCATGGAAAGAATTATTCGTGGATGCATCTAGAAACGTGTATGAATTGCCCCGTTGTTTCGAAATAAAATGGACAAAGTGACATGCAACGAAATGCGACTCAGTGCAATGATTTTATTTGATTTCAAAGAGTGAACGTGAAGTTGTTATTGTCATAACTGGTCATTCTTATGTATAGTTATATCATCAATCCTCCATCTTGACTTGAAGTACACCCATTCTGATTCTATATAACCTTTAAATATTGCAATTCACGAGAATATGCAATTCGCACAATCAACAGACTTGGTGTCTTGGACATAAACCTTTTTTCAGAAACAAGGAGAGATTTTCCAACTCACTTATAGCATGTTTATTATTCCCGTATTAAAGTGAAGGGGGAAAGCCTCAGAGCGTTAGATATGACAGACACAATTACGTCTCTTGCTTACCTCCTTCGTTTATTCGAATCTTTTCTTATTACAGATTTTTTCTTATGTATTACATACTTTTATTCGCATGGCAACTTTGTCTTAATGACGTCAAAGATCTATGTGCGAGCTAAAGTTGAGAAATTCTCATCAATTAGTTTTCGAATATTACGCGTCGTCGTAATGCTTTCATCGATTAAAGCATATTCCTTACATCTTTCTTTATCTTGATGTGAAAATTCAAGCTACGATATAGGTAAACACGCAAAAAATTCACATAATATCATTAGAAGCGTTATTAGAAGATTGTGAATCCACCATTTTTGTTTGTCGACTTAGACCAATGATTTTAATTTGAAACATCTTGATTTTGGTGTCAAAATAAAGCTGGTCACGTCCAATTTCTCTATTTTTCAATGAATAATTTACTACGACTACTATAATTTACTCGAGTCTCTAGCCAATTCTTGGTTACAAGTAATTTCATCTGGAAAACCGTGAACTCCATTTGAAAAAAAGCTGGCCGGCATGTCATAAAATCAAATATTTTAAAAATCGCCAGATAAATAAATCATTAATTAAAATGGTACCGGTCGGACTCTTTGAGATATTGCATGGTTTCGTCTCAAATTAAAACAAATGGCTCCAAGAAAAATGGCGATATTCAATACTGGATGAAATGTGTTAATGTTTAGTTGATTCTCCGCGCCTTTCATAGTACTTGTCTTAAGTCCCCGGATCTGCTCTTATTGGCATACTTGGACCCCTTTCCTCTCTTTAAATTGTCCTCAGTCAAATGACACCCTATCGCCGATTTATATAGCCATTAGCCAGAACCAGGAATCAGAATCACTGATGTTTGTCATATTGAAGTATGTACTGTAATATCTGTAATACTATAGGTCATTTACTGCTACGCGTAATGGTCATAATGGTCACGTGACCAGCGCGATACAGGAAAAATGGGGAATTTCGAATCAACAATTTTTGGGTTATTTTATTGCAAATTTCAGGTATTTCTTTTTTCGCTGATATTATTTAGGAATTGGTACACGGAAATCCGAAAATGATAAAAAAATTGTGATTTTAGAGACATCACTCAACTCATTATATTAAAAAATCTGCTTTTACTTGATCTTTCGATCTTTTTGCATTATTGGATATACCTATGCATGTGCCACTCACCATAGCCCAGTAAGTGTAGAAGGTACTGTAGACGTTTCCAGAAACCACATTGAGAGATTGGGCATTAGATGCAATGCAGATATCAGCTTAAAATTGGAAATATATTCATCATTAGTATACTTCTGTTGATTCAGGCTTCACGCCCTCTTGTAGTTAATCTTAAGTATTAAAAACATTAAGACATATCGCGTATATCGTCTACGCTGATACTGGGGTAGGTAAAAGAGGTAACCAAAACAAATGTTAATAATTCAGACATCAAGCGTAGATTGTACCTCGTATTTGGCACCTTTAATGACCCTTGTTCAATGTGCTTTCATTCCACTGGTTTCACGAAATGCCAAAACATGCCAAAATTACCTAATATGAACCCAAACAATTTTATCGTTGGGGCTAGTTCAAAGATGATAACACTCCTCGAAGTATCAGAGAGTTGAAACAACAGATTAGTCGAAAAAATGAGAGCGATTACACAAGATATGTATGAGCGTGTAGTCAGAACAACACCTGATGCGTTCAAGTAGCTATAGCTTCCAGAGAGAGACAAGCATTTTGAACATATTCTGTAAAATTGCCAGAAAATAGCGTCCTATTGAAAGAGACCAGTGAAACTTCATAGAATGAAAGAATACTTGGCAAGGTTCAATTGTGCAAAATATGTCGTTAAGCCCATGCTGGATGACTGAATTGTTTTATAAAATATTTTTGTTTGGGTTACCTTTTTTGGCTCCTCCTGTATATACAAATACAAATGTTCTCTATTGCTAATAGATATTAAATTTGAGATACGCTTAGAAGTAAATATTCTGGGAAAAGAAATAAACAATGTGATGAAATTCACTGAACACCTTTGATGTAAGTTATCAGGTGATAAGGTCGTCAAATGCATGTATCGCTTGTGTAACCAAACGGGATTTTTATTTATTCATTTGGACTATAAATCGGTTTCATATTATTACTTACTTGGGAAATTACACACAGATGTTTCACAACAAAATTCACAGAATTCTGTGGTTTCGGTACACTCAATGGCATCTATATAAGCGCAAGTAGCTGCTAGTCGGCACTGCTGGAAAACTACTGGTTCAGTCCTGTTACGGGCGTCTACTTGGAGGTAACATATCTGAAAAAGGCACATTTGATGCAACGAGTCTTTATATGAATTATACGCATATACAGTTACAATGTCGATATTTTGATAGTAAAAATATAACAACTGCGTCAGCCCAGAGTTATGGGCCCCTCGGGTTCATGAGGAAACGGCCTCGGTATAAATGTACAAAGATTCAGGCCTTTCCTGATTGAAACCCTCAAAATGAAGGCTGAATATAGTCAATTGTGCCTCACCTATAAGACCTACTGTAATGTACTGTAGAACACCGGGATTTTCGTAATGCCATTATAACTGAACAAACTACTAAATTAAAACCAATGACGCGATTTATCGACATACCATTTGAAAGGTGGGAGTCAAATAAAAGGTAACATTTGCGTACTATTAAAGTGCCGGGGTTTTGGAACTCAGATAGCATAATTCTGCTTTAACCTTCAATCAGTTTTACTAACTCAAATATCATTCACATGGCAAGGATCACAATTTCAGTTCATTATACATTTATTTCAATAATATTGTAGTAAAAAAGTTACATAGGTCGCTGCCTAGCGCAATGTGCATTACAGGCTAGCGTTTGAAGTTCAAATTAACTTAATTAATTGAGTGAGTTGCATACAAATGTGCTAACTGGTTGCCTAAACTTAATGGTGAAAAGTAAATCAGAATAAAAATGGGTTAGGTTAAGCTAAGAATAAAATCAACAAACCTTCCTTTTGATTGAGAATCCCGAGTTCTATCAATCGAAAATAAATTTTTGAAAATTAAAAATTCAATTTTGTCATGTCCACTGAGATATGCATGGGTCTCAAGGTTTTGCTGCTCAAGGGTTTCTTCAAGGTCTTTTCTGTGGGTTAAATGGCGCTTACATTGCAGAATCAATTGTTTAGGGGGTTGTACTCTTACCACGGACACATAGATTAGTTGTGTTAGGGAAATTATGAGCGAACTGTGATTCAAAAAGAGTCCACATCTAATTCTGTTCAAGGTGATTTCTTGTTTTCGAGAAAGATTGAGTTTAGATGTTGTATTGAAGTCATTACACTTTGAAGATTTGTTTTTGATTTTACTTTTGAACATAGATATGGTGGGAATAGACCTTTAAAATAAATCATTTAAAGCAATATGTTGGGCACATTTTCTTAAAAATTCAAAATATTCTGTTCAGTGGCCTTTTCGAAACGCTAACTTTTAACCTTTTTTCAGTCACATTTTCAGAGGGATGAAAAAGCTCTTTCAGCATGGTAAGGGTCATTGTGACCATGCCCATTGTGATCCCGACCCGGGTCCTGGCCATGTAAATGTCACTTTTTTCAAAAGCCACGACTGGTTTTTGTATCATTTGTAATGTCAAAGTAGACATCTATGAATAAAATGTTACCTACCTCGTCTAACTGACAAGCAGTTGTGGAAGGACAGCTTGGGAAGGACTCATCATTTCCACAGTCATAGCATATAGGGCCCGTTGTTATTATGTCCTCGATCGCAGCCTCCTCGCCGAATTCGAATTCTGCAATATTCATTTTAGTTAACAGTAAATGTTTCCAGTTGTTAGTACAACACAACACAACGGCAAATATTACATGCTGAAAGTATTTCAGCTAAGATACGCAATTTTTGTTTGTCAAAGAACGATTTAATTGTTAGTTCAATGCAATAAATCGGGAATGAAAAAGTGACGGAATATGCCCATTTTAGTTTTTCATGCATACTTTTTCTTCTCCACAGCAATCCCGGTGTGAAAGAAATTATGGTCCCCCAGGGATTATGGTCCCCTTTCTTAACGGCCCTTACTGGCCCCGATTGCGTATAAGATAATGAGAGAAAGAGTTGTATTGAGGTCACCATATAAATCAATGGAGAGTAGGACCATAATTTGATGGGACCTCCTACCCTTTTACACCGGCATGCAGTCTCGGTTTGCTATGGAATGTTTTCTGCTTCATTATTCGTATTTTACTATATGTATTCGTAAATTGAAATTCTGCATTTGTTGAATGCACATTTATGTTCGTAACTTTAGTATTTTCATTCATTTTTTGTATTTTCTGTTCGTGAATCTAATTTGTTTCGTTAGAACGGATACGTACGTGTTTTATACTGAAATACATTCAAAATTCATTAAAAGCATTTGTAAGTGACACATTGTATATCCATATACAAATAAATTTGAGTTCATTTTGTACATTTATCATTGTTTCTGCAAATATATTAGTTCAATATCTACGAACTGAATGTCAAATTTATCAATGAATAAGTACAAGCTTTGGCATTTTATTTTTTAATTGTCGAATTTATTTTCGTAACAAGGTAAAATGTTTTCTTAAAGGTGCACATATATTGTTCGTAAATATTGTCATTTGTATTCGTAAATTGCACTCATATATTCGTTTTTTATTGGTTCATTGATATCACGTGGTCATTCTCAACGAGACATGGTCAACCCATGGTCAAAAAATCATCACCTTCTCCCCCACACACACCTAAAACTCTCGTGTCACGTGACCTATGCCTGGACACTAGCATTTTATATTCGTTAACTCACATTTGTATTCGTAAACTCATTTATATTCGTAAATTATCATTTTATTATTCGCTAATGTACGAATATTTCTTTGCTTTCTGCAATAATTTATGGGTAATATGCAAGATTATTATTCGTGAAAATACATTTCTTCGATAAAATAACAGGCAACTTTTTTGAAATCTACGAATTCTAATCTTCAGTTTGCGAATAATAAATTGTTAGTTTTGCAAATGTTTCTAGTCCTTACAAACATAAAATGCACCCGATTTTAGGATCTATTTGTCTATTTAATACATCATATATGTATTTGTAATTTAGGCATTTTATTTGTAAATGTTACATTGATGTTCGTATAAGGGAATTTATAACAAACGAATTATGAAGCAGTTATGACACTATAGTTTGCAGGGATGAAGGGCGAAGGCGAACAATTTTAATAATCAAACCTTTGGAAAACGTCTAAAAATGATTTTCTAGATACATCTTTGTCTTATTTTAAGACATTCACAAAGTATTTGACAAGGTTTGCAATAACGGTCTCTGTTCAAGCCTAAATCATCTCAGACTGGTATTTCATGTCAACTGTTCAGGTGGCTTGAAAGTTATCCAACGAACAAAAAATAACGTTGTTATTGTTGGTACTCAACCTGACTAACTATTTCTTGTATCAGTGTATCGGGGATCCCCAAGGATCAATTCTAGGTCAGAGAGTTTTAAAAAAAAAGAAACCGACATAACTATTTCTACGGGTGATAGCTACTCTCATTAGTTGTGCTTGTAACTTACCGTATTACTATAGAACCGCTAAATCACAAGGTGAACTTAAAAATATAGTTATGAAGGATGGACAGTGGCGGGTTACATCCAATACAACCGTTTTCGAGAATAATTCCCCAAATGGAACATTAATGGGAGCTTTAGGAAACGCTAAATGAAGAAGCTAAAGATAGTGGATTTGTGCTACCGCGGTGATATTGTCAGACAGAAACACATACGAATTTTCTTGGATAGTCTGACAAATTCACTGGGCAGTGAGCTTGTCAGACGAAATGAAAAAATAAATAAGCTTATGTAAAAAATGATGAACTCCTTACTTTCGCATGTCACTCCATCGCCTAGGTACCCTATTTGACACTTGCACGTGTAACTTCCGGGTACATTAAGGCAATATCCCAGTGGGGAACAGTCGAATTCTCCTTGAAGACATTCGTTATAGTCCAAACATGTGAAACCATCACCAATGTATCCAGCATTACATGTACATCTATAGCCACCAGATATGTCTGTACATAAGGCATTTGTGCTGCAACGATCAGTCCCAAGAGCACACTCATCAACCTCTAGATATACAAAAGTGAATTCATGTTATAGGTGATACACCGATATATCGATGGGGCGATTTCTAGCGTCCTGATTGGACCATATGGGATAAAAGCAGGGGAATAGTTTTAATTTTTTGTGGACCCCTGTTAAACCCCTCAATAATAAGTAAAAGGTAATGCTGACAGGTCCTCAACAAGTGAAAACGTATGTAGGAATATATGTTTTACCATTTAAACTCATCAAAACGTCTGTTGAACATAACAAATACATAAGAACACCTAAAATGAACATCTGAGAAAATAATAACATATTTTAAAATCTGTCAACAGTTTACATATTCTTATCGGCCGTCGCTATTATTTGCTCACCTGTGCACCCAGGCCCACACGTGCAATTATAACTCCCTGGTACATTAATACACGTAGCGTTAACGCTACAACCATTTGGACCATCAATACATTCATCAATATCTGTGCAGAATGTATCATCTGGGTTGTTACGCTCGTAACCCGTTAGACACTGACACTCAAAACTTGGATACCGATTTACACATCTTTCAGTGACGTCACATCCACAAAGCGACGGTTCGTTACACTCGTTGAAATCAAGGCAATAACGAAATCCATCTCCCTGGTAGCCCATGTTACACGTACATTTGAAACTGCCTTGTGTATTTGTGCATGTTCCATCAACGTTACATGGGCTTGTTGAACATTCATTAATGTCTGCAAAATAAATATCATCAATTGTCGTATTCATTGTTCCTTCTTCAAAAGAGGAGACGCGAACGTTTTTCCTTATAAGATCAAAATATTTCCCACGATGCAGTTGGCGGAGGAACAAATTCACACTTCCTTGTTTCCCCCCATAGGTTTAACATGGGTATTTTCACACCTATTTTACAATCGATACATTCGTTCACATTCCCCCCGTAAGGAAGTCCAGAAAAAATTAACAGAAACGATTGAACCTCTATTAATCTTAACATAACATATACTTTTGTTTGACTATCAATTGTGAGGGTTGTAACTTGATATTAGTATAAATTCATTTGACAATAATTTAATCATCGTATGAAAATTTGTCCCACAAGTTCCAAGTTCTCAGGAGTTTATATCTGCCTCAAATTTTAGATTTGACCTTTAATTTTGAACAAAATACTCAATCGGCCGGGTGCCGGCCGAAGAATCGGAGAAAATGTGACCCAGACATAAGTCTATTTGTTTTACTAGGGTTTACAAACACACTGTGACAATGCATGGCAAATAAACTTGTATAATACATGAATAATTCGCGATGGTCACAAGACGCAAAATTCAAATGACGCAAAATATGATGTAAAAGAAAAACGCAGAAATTTAATGCGCAGATTTAATGTTTTATTCAGTATTTCAAAGTCAAAACCGTGACTGTATGCCACTTTAAATACCTGTACATATTGTCCCATTGCCACTATATCCAGTGTTACATTCACATGTGAATGAACCAATAGTATCTGCACATACTGCATTCGCACTACATGGGGAAAAAAACGGTACATTCGTCAATGTTCGCACATGTATGACCATTGCCTGAATAGCCTGGGTTACACTCACACGTGTACCCACCATCTGTATCTGTACATGCTGCGTTTGAGTCACACGTGTCTTCGCCTGTTGTACATTCATCAACCACTACGGCAAAAAATGAACCATTAAAATGAAGATTATCTACAGGGTGTCAAAAAACAACGGCACCCCCCTCTACAGCAAAAAGTACTTAATATTACATGGTGTGTCATATCTCATTTTAAAGACAATTTAATTCTGGAATTACCTGAGAAAGGAGTTGGGTAAACAAGGCCATTTTAAGCCCCACCTGATTTTCAAGTTTTCTCTTTATTTTATTAATCTATGTGATATATGTGTTTCAAAAATGTATGAAAATTTAGGTCAAGGTAATATTCCCCAGGTCAAGGTCAAATTAAAAAAATTCATTATTTTCTACCAAAATATACCTTTTTGGTTAAAATATCACAAATATCTGTAGGAATTTAGTCTCATAGAGGTTGGAATTACAATATATAGTAAATTGGCAATTTGCCAATAATGAGATATTTATATTAATATATTCCGCCCTTCCCACGCAACACTGAAAGAGAACAAAAGTACCTAAAATAATGAAAATACTTTATTATTTTAAATTCATTTAAATTCAGAATGTACATTTCATGATTTTCCTCTGCCAATATCATATTTTCCCTCAGGATAAAATTCATATTCCATCCCTCCCATTATATAACCTCTATGTATTCAATAGCAATATCACCCAATTCAATATCGCCCAAATATGACCCAGATAATGTCCTAATATCATAGCAACATCAACCAATTGTCAATCAAATGTCACTCTATGTCAATCCAAAATAACCCAAGTATTGGCCTCATATTATTTAAGTAACAGTCCAATATCAACCCTCTTATTTACCAAATATCACCCAATTATTCTGATTGTAATAATATCCCACTGTAAATCCAATATCAGCCAAATATGAGCCAAATAATGGACCAAATATGATAGCGATATCACCCCAATATCAATCCAATATCACCCAAATATTAGCCCAATATTATAGCAATATCAGCCAAATATGAGCCAAATAATGGACCCAATATGATAGCGATATCACCCCAATATCAATCCAATATCACCCAAATATTAGCCCAATATTATAGCAATATCACCCAAATATAAGCCCAATTCGATAGCAATTTCTGACAAATATCAATCCAATATTAACTTTATATCTGCCCAATTACCAACATATTGCCATTACATAAGCAATATCAAAAAATATAAGTTCTGATATCAACCTAATATCACAACAATCTCCTCCCAAATTAAGCTTATATTACCTCAATATCACTTCTATTATTAGTTGCAATAGTCTTGACTTGTGAAGCTAAATCTTCTGTAACCTTTCTCCGTTTTCTAGGAGAATTTACCTGCTTCCTACATATGCAGCATGAATAGCATTTGGCCATTTTGAATAATCAACAAAAATGGCAGGCAAAATTTTCTATAAAGTTCTAAAATTCACATCGAGCATAATAAGTCTCCATCAAAATTATTCTTTGTATGCAACAATATAACATTTATGTAACTAAAGAAGCACTTATTAGAGTGGAGACTTGTTATGCTCTATGTGAAAATACTCAAAGGATTACTACCTCCAGTGAATAAAAATGTCACCCAGACACAGCATGAAATGTCCTTTCAAAGCTTTACTTACCTCTAAACTGTACATATTGTTTAAATCAATTGTATGTATGGATCAAATAAATATATATTTACATAATCCTGGACAGATAAATCAAAAACATTCATCCATAGCTGAGTAAATTGGAATTCATCAAGAGGGTTGCAAAATATGTGAATTTTTTTCCTTCTGGCCCCCACCCTCTTTGAAGGTCTCCAGACACCGTAACAATTTTTTCTAAATTTTTTTAAAAATACTACCCAAAAATATAGACTTCAATCTATGCATTTCTGATGTTTTTTTCTCCTATTCTTAAAAAAAGTTTTTTCACACTTCAATTGGGGCACTCTCTGTTGCTAGTTTACCCAACTCCTTTCAGCTTTATATCATATAATTTTACAGATTTACAGCTGATTCTTAGTAGTTGGTATGACCGCCAGTTGCTGCTCAAACAGCAGCTTATCTGGACGGATATGATTTCAATGAAAATTCAGATAAAGGTGTAGCATTGCATAATCCTCTAAGCACTTTCCTCAAATTCTTCAGAAATACATCCTCACTGTATCTTTTTTCAAGAGGCTCTTCGTCCATCAGTTGCTATACCCTGTTTTTCAGAACTGAACCCATATGTTCAGTGCAGTTGAAATCTGAGCTAATTCTTTCATATTCCACTTTCTGAAGATTTGACCTTTAACCAGTAACAGAGCAGCAAATAAAGTACCAAAGTAGCAAACTTAAAAACAATGTAGCTTTTTTAATATAAAGTTTTATTAAATGAAATTCGAGGAGTAACTCCAGAGTTAAATTATCTTTCAAATGAGGTATGACACGATATGACACATTCAGGACTTTTTGCTGTAGAGGGGGGTGCCGTTGTTTTTTGACACCCTGTATACTCTATAAATACCCGCTCCTTAAATGTGAATTAATTAAAAGGGTTATCTCGGTTTTATAAACTATTTGTGCAATTCTCTTTTATCGGTAAAAAGAAGAACACAACCAGATGTCAAAGCTAATGTCAACTTAACAGTCAATTCAATGGCAGAGAAGTCAGTATCGTGTATGTGCCATTGATCATTGATGCATGAATCATGATCAAAACCACGTGAACAAATAATTCGACATTGTGATCTTACATGTACATCCTGAGCATTCACATGTATACGACCCATCAGAGTTGATACAAGTTGCACCATTGGCAAGATTACATGTAAATGGCCCAACGGTACATTCATCGACATCAAGGCATTCTGTGAAACCATCTCCAGTTGTACCCTCAATACAACTACACGTGTAGCTTCCGATTTCATTTATACATTCGGCATTGGTAGCACAATTCACGGGTCCACTTGGAGTACCTAAGATGCATTCATTGATATCAGCACAAGTGACGCCATCACCACTGTACCCTGTATTACACGTGCATGTATAGCTGCCAAACGTATCCACACATGAAGCCGTTTCGTCACAGGGTCCAACTGGGTTCATAGGAGTGGACATGCATTGTAGAGCATCTAAAATAACATACATGTACAGGGTTGGCCCAAAACGCCACTTATATTTTGAAATGGAACAATATGACTTCCCAGGACGTCATGAACTCTCTGTATATGCTTTATTTAAAAAGATACAAAATAAAATATCTCACCCATGCAAAGAAATCCTCCACCAGCATAGCCCTCTCTACATTTGCACTCATACAAGAGTGTGCCTATCTCGTCCGTGCACGTTGCAAAGGGGTCACACATATCCAAATCTTGTACGCATTCATCAATGTTATTACACGTGATTCCATCCCCTGTATACCCAGAATTACATGTACATGTGTAGCTTCCAACTCCATCAACACACGCCGCATTGTCAACATCACATAAGTTTGCACCTAAACACTGGTCAACATCTGTAAAAATGAGCAGTAGTTATGAAGAGAGAGGGACTTTTGCGTAAGAAAATGAGATGTGGATAATGATGGTAGATACTTGTGTGTGCTAAAATTGTCTAAATGTGCGATTTGTTGGCAAAAAGATATGCCCATTGTGAGAATACCCCACTCTCTTTAACATTACATCTTTAACCGAATCTTTCCAGTGTATTATCCGAGCAGGTGCTAGTGGCTTGTGGAAGATGGGGACTACAGTTTACTTATTGGAACTATAGATCAAATTATAAGTACTAAACATACACTTTGCATAAAATGTAACATTATTTCCCTATAGTCCTTATCTTAGAAGTAATTTAAACATTTGTTCGTGTAATTAGGCTTATAATCGAGGTGTTTACCTGTACAATTTAATGGATCACATGCACACGTGAACCCTCCAATTGTATTTTCACAAGTGGCATTGTTCGCTGTATCGCATGTGCTTGTGCCCATTGCACACTCATCAACATCTACACATAGCGCACCCTGTTCTTCATATCCGTTACTGCATTGACAGGTATACGTCCCCAATGTATTGATACAAACTGCATTTGCTTGACATAACATAGCATTTTCAGCACATTCATTA